CAAGTGGTGAAAAGACTCTGTAATTGTAAACTAATACAACCTTCACAGAACCTATCAGAGTATTTTGTCAATTTACATTCGTTACATTCTTTTGGTATTCCTGATTTATCTCTTGCATTTCTTAATTCATCCTGATAAATAAACTCTTCCTTACAATATTCTTTTTCATTTTCAGAAAGCTCCTTGTTTTTGTTGACTAATGAAAAAAAATAATCTTTTATACTTTCTTCATCAGAATTAACTGCTGCGTTATTACGCATTTCATTATAAATTTTAAATACAAATTCTCTTCTTTCTATTGATAACGATGATAATAGTTTATTATATGACATTATATAAAAATATAAAACTTTGGCTTGTTGTTTTAATGAAGAAAACGTGGGATTTTTTTGAGTATAACTAACGATCATATTATTATTATTTCCTTTTTCTTTGCGGAGAATTGAGCGTGTGACAAACACAAAAAAACTTCCTTATTTGTGAGAATGCATTATTATTGAATGAATGAAATGGAATGTGACATTTCCTGCCTAAATACGCCGGTCTCTAAAGCATGCGTCCTTTTCACACTAATAAAATTAAAATTATAAAAATTGCATTATTTAAAGAACAACTTTAACATCAACAGATATTCATCGTGATTCTAATGTTTCAAGAATAGCATTCTTATCTCTTTTAAAACTTAATTTAAAGCTCACAAACACCTGCAACTAAACCTGTCTCATGTAATCGTTCTACGCATCAATATTGAGCCTGTGTGTTTCAAACTCAGACACTCAAACACCTTATTAACATTATTGTGTGTGTATTACTAATACTGTAGTTAACTTCAAAGTCAAATTCGACAAACACAACTTGTATGCATTTAAAGTTGCTCTATATACCAATATTGACCTGCCATGTATGTTTCGAACTCAGGCACTAAAGAACGATTTGATTTTTTCATTTAATAAAAAAATAATTTCAATTTGTAAAAAAGAAGAGCATTTTTATTTTGAAAAGAGAATATACAATAATAATTAGTTTCGCACAATTAAGTAAAATTCCTAATCCAAATTATAATTTCAATGATAATTATTCTTCTTGTATCATTGCAATATATATGCAGTGATAATAATTCTTTATTCATCCCTGGAACACACATATTTACAGTGATTTTTTTCATGATTTTATAATTTGGAACTTTCGATAATTCTATTTTATCATTATCGTTATTATTGTTGTTATCACCAATTAGGAATTTCAAATTGGATGATGAACAAGGAAGCGGCTACTATTATTACTGTTCACTTTTATTTTCTTGACGTTTGTATCTAAATTTACTAGGTTCATGTCTTTCGAGACAATCATTTCTGCAAGAGACTGTTTAGTTTTGCTGCTAGCTTAATTTACACAACCAGTATTTTACGCTTCTATATAAAATTGACATTATTTTATTTTGACTAAAATATTTGAAATGCATATTTAAATAGGGATAGAGTCTATATCAAAGGATACAAAAAAAAAATTTGCAATCAAATGAACACCACCATCTTTGTCATTAAAGTGCTTGTTATATTATAGTGAGTGGCCTTATACTTTTGCAATCATACATGCTTCTATCTAAATCATCGACAACGTTGCCGATTACATTGTAATGAATATTGAGAAAATCATTTTCTGTAACTTGGAGGTGAATTCAGCTGAACATAATAAGAATTGATGGTGGTGGATCACATTTTTGAGAGGAATATGTATATTGATATTGTTACAATTATTAGCTGAGGAAAGATACAGTAATTGTAAATGTTTAGTAATTTTTCTTTTGTTAGTGGGATGGATTATTTGTTCCGACCATTGGCCAAGGGTCCTTAAATTACTATTATTTTATATGATGGCGATTATAGCTGTTAATGTTTTAAAAAAAAAACACTTGGAAAAGTTTGAGTGAAAATTTAAATATAGTATCTTTTTAGTATAAATTACAATGATTAGAAAATAATCATTAACTATGCCATAATTGGCATTTATGATTTTTCTGTTTTGGCTAATATCAAAATTGAGAAATTTTGACCGCTTGGCCAATTTTTTTAGCTGGTCAAACAGCCAAAAGGCTATTGGTCGCGAGCATGATAATGATAAAGGAATAGATGCGTCTAGTCATATAAATATACAAGTTTTTAGCGCGACTAATTTTTTTAAAAACATAATGAAATTCCAACCTGAACTTTCTGTAACTTCATGGTTTGTCAGCCCATTGACAACGCTTAAATTTAGAGGATTGGTAACAGTTTATGCATGGGTAATATTATTGTTAGGTTTATTTTTTGAAACCTTCACTTACTTTTTCATTTTTGAAAATTGGAGTCATGTTGGATTATTAATTCATTTTACTGTAAGATTTCCTATTTTATTTATATTTTTTTGGGAATTGGAGTTTCAAAAAGAGATAAAGGTAAATGTATATTTTTAAAATCACAAATATAAAGATTGCATTTCATCATTCAATAAAATATGTAAAAACCAAAACAACAAGTTCATTTAACAAATCTCTGAAATCCTTTAATTGGGCATTCTGGTTACTTTATCATTCAGTTGTACGTGGGGGGTTCAAAAAGTTTTGACACTGTGCAATTATCTTGATGATCCTCAAATGTTTCCCATTTTGAGAATAATCATTTTATAGCTTGGGTAACATCCAATAAGTAATAGAAAATTTGGCACAACT